TGCTTCCAGAAAGATTTATATCCTTGGGAAACCCTAAACAGGGTAGCTGTGGGTCAGATCGACTGGACTGGCAGTGGGTTTGTACATGAGTGTGTGTGTGTGTGTGTGTGTGTGTGTGGTGGGGGGGGGAGGTATTAAATATGGAGCCCTTGTGTACATCTGTAAAGGATAAATGGTACCTACCTCCTTGAGGATTTGAATCCCTGGATGGTGCAAGCAAAGGTGCCACTAAAGATTCTAACCGGAAGGTTGGCTGTTGGAATCCACCCAGGGGACCCTCAGAAGAAAGGCCTGGTGATGTGCTTGTGAAAAACCACTCATTGAAAACCCTGCGGAGCACAGTGCTGCCCTGACACGTAGGGGTCAGCCAATGTTGGATTCAACTCCGTGGTAACTGTCCAAAAAGACGCATTAGGCCTCGGAGCTGGTCAGTAATGGCGACGGCTGGTTGTGAAGAAGTTGGGGTGGGTTTGAGCGGTTTCACTGTTTTAGCCCAGGCTAAACTAGCTCTGTCAAAGCTGGCTCCTCCACAGTCAGCAAGACCTGGAAAAGGGTATGGATGGTTTCAGCAACCTCTGCTCCTACGATAGGCCTGTGTGCAGCCTCACATTCTTGCCACCCTTCCGAGGCCCCAGACTCCTCCCTCCCACCCGAGCGTGGCACACATGGGTACCTCGGGCTCTGCTCGATTAAACTCCTCTCCGCCTCTTCCTCCTTGGCTTCTTGGTGAAAGCAGTCCTTGTTCACTTGATCCGCCAATTCAAGGTTTCTTCTCTCTCGTCCTGCGGGCGACCACATCGTATGCATTCTCCTCGAACATTTCACACATCTCCTTTTGCTGTGCTGCACCAGCCTCACTGCTACACCCCCGCCCACCCCCACCCCCTGCCGGCCCCATCTCCTCCTCCTGGAATATACTAAATCCGACAATGTTAGTCTTCTTGCAGATTTTCTTCTTGCTTTCAGAGGAAACTCCCACCCAGCCAGCCTCTAATTCCTGAGCTAGCCTGCTACCTCTCTATCAACTAATTCATTCAGAACATTAATTGAGCTCATGCCGTACACGCCACTGTACTTTGACTATGTTTCTGTGAGAGACAAATCAGCAGAAGACACATGGAACAAAAAAAGATGATTGTGCACAGTGATATCACCAAACCAGCTGCCATCGAGTTGACGTTGACTGATGTCAACTGCTCCGTATCCAGATTGTTCAAAGGTGGGGTCCTTTTAGAAGCAGATCACCCGACCTCTATGTTGGCATACTTCTGTCTGGTGTAACTGCCATCCTTTCAGTGATTAGCCAAGTGCTTTGTGCTTCTTTGCACCACATAGGGCCTCCAGTGGACTGTGATAAGTCCTGATAAAAAGATACGGGCTTGTGGCACAGGAAGTGAAGGGGCCTGATGTACGGACGAGTCCAGCTCCTGGGGACTGCAGGTGTGCCGAGTAGAGCCGCCCCCAATGTTGGCTTTCTTTTCTCCGAGAGTGGCTGGTGGATTTGAACTGCCAGGTGCTTAACCGTGGTGCCACCAGGGTCCCCTTCCTGTTGAGATGAAGTTGCAGCTGGACGGAGGAGGGAGAAGACGGCTGAGAAAGAAAGACTGGGAGGGAGGTTTCAGGCCGAGGGAGGTGAGAGGGAGCTATCTGTTTCTGAGGAGTTGGAAGGACAGGCTGCTGGAGGAGGGGGGTGGGGGGTGGGGGCCTGTAATTGCCCTCGTAGGGCCTTTTGGAGGAGGCGTTATTCTGATTATTCTGATTGTGCGTTTGGGCGTTATTCTGATTGCTGTAGGAAGGCATTAGACAGTGTAGCATCTTCTTCTCTTTAAACTGTATTCCCTAAACTCTAGTTCCCTCCATTTGCCAAACTGTACCTGAAACAACCTTCCCGCTCCTCCATCTCTTTCTTGCCTCCTCCTGTGAAGACTGGCTTCCCCAGGGAGCCCTCTCTGTGAGCCCCGAGCAGGACCACAGCACATTACAACGTTGTTTTTCCTGCCTGGTTTCCTCTCCAGCTGCTAGGGCATGGATCTGGTTTCTTTGTATCCCCAGCCACCGCTCAGCTTCATCCCTGCCTAATGCCTGGCAGGCTTTCAGGGAGCCTTTATGGACAGCGAGCAGACTCCCTGGGCAATTTCATCACACTCCAGCCACTTCCTTCCACCTCCCCTTGGCACTTTGAAAGGGCCCTCTCGTTAGTTTTTGATTTCATAGTTTTTATGACTAGCCCTTTTGTCGCTCCTTCCAAAGGAACTACAGTGATGCCTGTGTGAGCCAGAACTTGACAAGATCCTGCCTTGGTTTTTCCAGGTCTTGCAGGTTTGAGCCTTTGACAGATGCGGTCGAACTCCTTTTCCATCTGTGTTAGTGGCACATGTTTGTGTTTTCCTTCTGTTCCACGGGTTTTACAGCATCTCCTTCGTTCTTTTTCACACTTTCACCTTCCTCCGGGTGCTGGTGTTGAGCCTGAGAAAGAGAAGTGTTCAGGAAATTGGTGCTGCCTTACCCAGAAGTTAAGTGTGCCCTAGGAGTTCTCTACAGCTACCATTCCCCGAATGGAGGGTGATACTGTGGGACACAGATTTGCATGCTCTGCGGTTTCAAATTGGAGAGAGGGGGGTGCTTCATGCATTCAGTAAGGTCGTTGTAAAAACTAACCTCTGTGTGTGTCTGGCAAAGGAGCCGGATGAAGGTGTCAGGCTAAGCAGCAGATAGCTAACTGGAAGGTCAGCAGTTCAGATCCACCAGTCTCCCTGAGAGAAAGATGTCATGTCCCCCCTCCTCCCCAGGGGGGTGAACAGCAATACCTGGGCAGCGGGAGACAGCAGGTGGTGTAAGATATGAAAATAATAGTAAATTTATAATTTATCAGGAGCCCATGAGGGCAGCAGGGTGGAGGAGGGAGGGGGGCAAAAGGAGCTGAGACCAAGGGTTCAAACAAAGAAAATATTTTGAAAATGACCTATGTGCTTAATACAATTGATATGTGGATTGTGGTAAGAGCTTTAAGAGCTCCCAATAAAATGATCTGTTTATAATAATAATAGTAAAAAGATGTGCCCATCTGCTTCTGGAAAAATTGCAGCCTGTTTACGCTGCCTCTGCGTGGATTCCTGGCTCTGGGTTAAGCCTCGGGTTAGAATACCATTTGGGAATGGGTTGTCTTATGTTAGTCAGGATTAGTACAGGGTGTGCCTAGAGTAAATTTCTTTTGAGGTATAAAAAAGCCACTGAGTGGATTACAACTCATACCTATCCCAAAGCACACAGTAGAACTGCCCCTGCAGGTTTCCAAGACTGTCGACTCTTGGTGGGAGTAGAAAGTCTGTGTCGTGGGCTGCACATTGGGCTGCTAACCACAAGGTCAGCACTCTGAAGCCACCAGGCATTCCCCTGGAGAAAGACAGGGCTTTCTCCACGGAGAAGTGCAGCCTCACAAGTCCACAGAGGCAGCTCTACCCGGCCTGGGAGGCCTCTCTGGGTCCAAGTCTGCTCGGTGGCAGCGAGAGCGGCCGACACTGTGAGAAAATGCATAAAAACGCCATCTGCCAGTGATGTTTCTGATAGTGCGGAATTAGATAGCTAAGATGGGGCAGGATCCGTGGGTGAGACTTTTGTTCATTTTGACGGACCATACCTTTTCTGATTGACAGCAGCGCCTCACAAAATGTTTAGATTGTGCTCCACATTAAAAAAAACCACGCCACATTTTACCTTGTGGCCCAGCACTGTGCATGGATGTAAACGTGAAAGACTCCCTGAGCAGCAGTCGCTGCGATTCCACGTGATGTACTTTGGTGTCCTCCAGCCTCTCTCTTTTGCTGCTCTTGTTGCCTGCTGCTGCTGTTGTTTAATGCCCACTAAATTGATTGCATGACCACTAATTTGCTCAGACTTATAATTTGGTAATAACGGATACGGAATATTGGAAGAGCCCCAGCAGGAACAAAGCTAATTGTAGAACATCACAAGGGGAGGTCCAAGTGTATTTTTATTCATGAGGTATGTAAATTAAGAGAGCTGCTAGCATTTAATGTGCCAAAGAGACAGGGCTGATTGGTGGCCAGGGCCCTGGCAGAGGCCTGGTCCACATTCCAGCCATTTGACCTTGGGCAGGTGCCTTCACAGATTGCTCAGGTGGAAAACAGATTTGTACTGCCCTCTGGCAGATGGAAGCTTGTGGAGATGTCCACACAGCCCATCCAGGCTAAATGCATGTGTCAGTCCGGGTAGACTACAGGAACAAATTCATAGACACTCGTGTATAAGAAAGAGTTTTATATACAAGAGCAATTAAATATTAAGAAAACATCCCAGCCCAGTCCAGATCAAGTCCATAAGTCCAATATTAGCCCACATGTCTGATCCCAATCTATAAAGCCATCTTCAGTCTCACGTAACACATGCAGTGAGGCTGAATCCAGGCAGATCACAGGCCAGTGGGTGCAAAGTCTTGTGGATTCAGTAGTGGTGTATGCATCTCAGTGCTGGCAGGGGTTTCCACGTGGCTTCAGCTCTGAGGCTCTGGCTGGCGTCAGCCTGTCTCCATGTGGCTTTTCAACAAGAATGTCTTGCAGGGACTGAGCATGTGTTCCACCTCCAGCAAGCTATTCATCTCCTTAGCCCCACCAAATAAGGTCATCCAGCTATGACCTGATTGACAGGCTAGACTCCATCCCTTCACTCTGAATCCTCAAATTGACACCAGATTATGTAACTACCACAAATCAGTAAAATCCATCTCCTTCAGTTTAAGGAGGCTCTGAAGAGGTGACGGTGCTGTTGTTGGTTTGGCTCCATGTAACCTGGTCAAACCCAAACCAAACTCATCACCATCGATTCTTTGCTGGCATATAGTGACTCTATAGGACAGGGTAGAACTGCGCTATGAGTTTCTGAGACTTAACTCTTTACCGGAGTTGAAAGCCTCATCTTTCTCCCTCGGAGCGGTTGGTGGTTTCAAACTGCTGACCATGAGGATCGCATCCCAATATGTAACCATGACTCCACCAAGGCTCCTACCATGTAACTTGGCAGGGAGAAGGAAATACTTACATCTTGGTGCTGTGGGTTCAGCTTTGAGCTCCCCACCAAAAAGGTAAGTAGTTCAAATCCACCAGTCCCTTTTAGGACCAAAGAGGAGGCCGTCTATGTGTCTGTAAAGATTATGGTCTTGTAAACCCTATGGTAGCAGTTCTGCTCTGTCCTGTAAGTTGCTGTGAACAAGAATCGACTGGAGGGCAGGGGGGGTTAGTCAGTCAGCTGGGTACCCGTCTTACTGCCACACCACACTCTGTATGGCAGCACACACATGCAGCCACACTCTGTGTAATCACACATACACCCCCAAGCCCTGTTCATTGTGGTCTCCATCCCAGGTGCCCCAGACCTCTGCAGGGCACCATGGACACTCCAGGCTGGAACCTGTAGACACTGCAGAAGATAAGTTAAATTCGACTCCAATGTCCAGCAGTATATATTGGGAGGAAAGAAGGACCTTTATGAAATATTTTTGAGATTTAATATGTGGCTGTGCTTTCATTAACTGGAAGCATTGCTGAGCATCAGAAACAGCACACCTAGACTTTAGATGGGCTAACAACTAACAACCCTTTGTTTGTATGTCACTTAACCTTTCTGAGCCTGAGTTGCTTTTCTTACCTGGGAGATCGCGGTAATATCTGTTCCTGAAAGACATGCTTGACAGAGGAGAGAGCCCTGGAAAAGAGGAAGGCCCTCCGTGAAGGCTTGGCAGAGTGGTTGCATCGGTGGTTTGCTTCACGGCAAATAGGGTCTCCAGGAGGCAGGACCCATGCCAGAACCCCTGACAGCAACAAAGGAGTGTGACAGGCAGGAGGTGTGTAAATAGTGTGCCTACCATGTGGTTAGGCACCTTCCTACGTAGTTGACATCTGCGGCTGTTGACCCAATAAGCAAGGTAAGCACAGGCTTACTTAAGCTTACTTACGAATCTGCTGTGAAAAATTTCAGTGGTGGAACACAGTTCACTGCATCTGTAATTCCTGGGCAGTGCACCTCTGTGTAGCCATAGCATGTCAGTGGAGACTTGCATGTTATTATGATGCCGGGTTGACTAGAGAAACAAATCCAGTGACACTCATAAGCGTGGCACATATATAAGAGAGAGCTTTTTATCAAGAAGGAAGTGTATATAAGGAAAACATCCCAGCCTAGTTCATCAGCCTGATACTAGCCCGTAAGTCCCTCTTGAGACTCGGGAAGCCACATGCAATGATGCAGAATACAGGAAGCTCACAGGCGGTGGGTGCAAAGTTTTGTGGATCCAACGGTGGTGGAAACATCACAGGGCTCCCACAGTTTTCCAAGTGACTCCCCAGCAGGAAAGCAAAGCAGAGAGAAAGGTGGGCCAGCCTCCAGTGAGCCATTTATCTCCGTTTGGCCTCCAAATGAGGTCATCAAGCTGCGACCTGATTGACAGGCTAATTTAAATTCCACCCCTATACTTTTTATTTATCAAGTTGACATGAAATTCATGGATCTACCACAATGCTGAACAATTTTCAGTGGCGTTTCCAGACTAGTAGGGGACTAGGAAGAATGACCTGGCCGTTTTAGACAGTGAAAAACCCCCTGGATCACAGCAGTCCTATCTGCAGCCAATCACAGAGGTGGTGCGGGACCGGGCAGTGCTTCATTCAATTGTACCTGGTGCCACTGAGTCAGGGCCCAAC